CCTGAAGCTCAGTCAGAGATCCTCACGCGCATCTGCTATGCACGCGTCTGGGTCTATGTCGATTAACTTGCTCGATCACTCAGCTTGTTCGATCACTGGTCTGATCGATTACTGGGTAGCTCGACCAGTCTGATCGAGCATCGGGCTGCTCGATCACCTGCGCAGTCAAGCTTCGGATTGTTCGATCGCTTGTGTGGTCGAGCCTTGGGCTGCTCGATCACGTAGATTCCCGCCTTTCGGCTTGGTTCGCTTCCGATCTGCTCTTCTCGACCGGCTCACCAAATCGGCTCGTCTTTGTACAGATAATATCCTATATCAATTTGGTATTTCTTCAAGAAATTGAGGTGGATGGCTTGAATGAGGATGATCCAATCAACCTCAAATAAGTCATGAAGGATCCTAACTCAAATAAATGGATCGAAGCAATGCGTGAAGAGTATAAGTCAATGCAAGACAATAAGGTTTGGGAACTTGTCCCATTGCCAGAAGGTGCAAAACCCGTTGGTTGCAAATGGATTTTTAAAACCAAACGGGATGCAAGTGGTAATGTCGAAAGGTATAAAGCACGTCTTGTGGCTAAAGGCTATACTCAAAGGGAAGGGATTGACTATAAAGAGACCTTTTCTCCAGTATCCTCGAAGGACTCTTTTAGAACAATTCATCAAATGGATGTAAAGACGGCGTTTCTCAATGGTGACATTGATGAGACGATCTATATGGTACAACCAGAAAGCTTTGAGGTCAATGACCCGAAGAAAATGGTTTGTAAATTAAGAAAATCCATCTATGGGCTCAAACAAGCGTCTCGACAGTGGTATCACAAATTTCATCAAATAATTATCTCGTATGGTTTTGAGATGAATGTTGTTGATGATTGTGTTTATCACAAGTTCAGTGGGAGTAAATTTATTTTTCTGGTTTTGTATGTGGATGACATTCTGCTTGCCACAAACGATATGTGCATGTTGCACGAAACTAAGAAATTTCTTTCGATAATTTCGAAATGAAAGATCTTGGTGAAGCGTCTTTTGTATTAGGAATCCAGATACACCGGGAGCGATCTCGAGGTATTCTAGGGTTATCACAAAATAGCTATATCGATAAAGTACTTGAGCGATTTGGCATGCAGAACTGCAAACCAGGAAATACCCCTGTGGCTAAAGGAGACAAATTTAGCCTAAGTCAATGCCCAAAGGGAAATTTGGAAATCCAGGAAATGCAAAAGGTCCCTTACGCCTCGGCGGTTGGGAGCCTAATGTATGCTTAAGTATGTACGCGTCCGGATATTGCGTACATAGTTGGTGTGTTAGGTAGATACCTTAGTAATCCTGGATTGGATCACTGGAAAGCAGCCAAAAGGGTGATGAGATACCTTAAGAGAACTAAGGATTATATGCTCACATATAGGAGATCAGATCATTTGGAGATCGTTGGATATTCTGACTCCGATTTTGCGGGGTGCCAAGACAGTAGAAAATCTACGTCTGGGTACTTATTTATGTTGGCTGGTGGTGCCATTTCCTGGCATAGTGCTAAACAAACACTTGTTACTACTTCCACTATGGAAGCTGAGTTTGTGGCGTGTTTTGAGGCATCGCAACAGGGAATATGGTTAAGGAACTTTGTCACAAGGCTACGAATTATTCCGGAGGTTGAAAGACCTATTAAGATTTTTTGTGACAATAAATCGGCCGTTCTGTACTCCAACAACAATAGGAGCTCGTCTAAGTCAAAACATATTGACATTAAGTTCCTAGCTGTGAAGGAGAGGGTACAAAGTGGTCAAATTTCCATCGAACACTTAGGGACAAAATCTATGTTAGCAGATCTCCTAACTAAAGGTGTAACACCTATGGTATTTTACGAGCATACTGCTCATATGGGTGTGTTACATATTCAGGAAGCTTCACTCTAGTGGGAGTATTTGCTACATATTTTTGTCATTTTTATTCGATGATGTCTAAAGTACTTATTCTGATCAGAAATAAAGTTTTGGTTCATGACACTTTGTACATTATGTTTTGGTACTTAACGATCTCATTAAGTTTGGACTAGTTGAAAATTGACATGTGCTGATCACATTCATGTAATTTTCATGCCACATGTTCCACAATTTGATCTATGTCAT